GGTTTTGTTCAATTCAATAAAACAAATATCATGTAAAAATACTACGATTTCGATGCACCGATCCCCCACTCCCATTGATCTTTCTCGATTATGACTTTTTTGGTTCAAAAAAGGAAATGTTATAGATATCTTCCTGTCGTCTTTGGTTAATGGACTCATTAAGATTGGAGATAATGCCATGTAAAGTATCGCGAATCGATACTAAAAATTGGAATGGGAGAAATAAGGAGATCGACCTGATTGCTTGGGCGCAACTTTCATGCTATATATAGAAGCTGAACGGGGCCTGAGGAGAATTTGCCTTAAATGCTTGAATCTGTTGTCTTTATCAACGCCGTGACAAGATGGAATACGGCTTATTTTGATTGAAGCTTTTAAGATCCCTGTCCCACACTTTTCCTACATATAGTAACCTTCCCTTACTCTCCGACATGATCCGTTGACCTGGTAGCTCACTGGGTTAGAAAGATAGTATAACAATCTGAAATCTAGGGTTCGAATACTTGTCTAGACCCACTTAATTCGTACACTCGAAACAATGTTTTTGGTTATATTTGTTTGTTTTATTATTATTTCTCAAAAAAAGTCCCGCAAGGTATGGTTTTCTTTTCAGAAATGATTTATGAAAGCTATAGTCATACCGGAAAAACAGTTTCAAACACTCCAGCAATATTTATACCCATAGTGGTGCTCAGTTATTTGATTCACAATCGACTTGCGTTTTAAAAACTTGGATATATAGATTTCTCCTATGTATCTCGATTTCATTTTTTTCCGGTCTATTTAAATGAAATTCTGTTTGTCAAGAATGCGATTCATCTTGACAAAGAAATCATGTTCTCCACACTTAACTTGTTAATGACGGCATACTGTTCATAATGGTTATATGGTCGCTGATTATTTTCAGTGACCAATCAAATGCCGTATTACATATGGAATGAAAAATAATTGAGTTCTTGATTCCTCCTCGTTTTTTTTTTTTAATCCCTGTCGGTTCATGCATCATACTATCAACATTAGCAACTGTGTTTGAAATATTGGTTGCAAAATATTACACTATCACTGTAGTATTAAATAATTAATTCTGTTATGCATAATTTAAACGAGCTTTACGAAAAAAAGTGAAAACTTGATACTACGATATTGAACAGCTTACTGTACAAGTATTTAAAATGCAATTCTTATCTAACGTATTCAGCAAACGATTAAGTATTAACTATGTGCTAAGTGAAAATACATAGATGTCAAATAATACTTTTACTTTTGAATGATGCTATTAAACTTGCACTATTTGACCAGAATTTACCGTTTTACGATGGTTATATTGAATCCTAGTTCTTAAAACCTGATAACTTTTACACCGAAACTGGCAGTGTATATACTTAGTCGTTACCGCTGCTGCAATTCACATCTTCAACTCCCAGTACCTAGCTCCTGCCATTGTGTACCAATCCCTAGTGTCATTCACATGAAATTACTCCCCAATACGACAAGGCTACTGTGCCATTTTAACAGATTTGTCAAATTACCCAATACATTTTCTTTCCTATATAACAATTGTAATAGGCAATTGCCATACCAAGACATCGGTTATCCTTTTGTAAATACGTAAATGTCGCGATTGTAAGACATTACTACGGCGTAAACTGGCCTCTAAAAGTACACAAGAGCATGTCATGTTATTCTGTGTGTGAGGTGTTTTATATACTCAAATTCGATTACGATAGACACGACGTACTTATGTTCAGATTTGTACAAAATGTATGATGATCGACATGGACTTTCTTTTTTCATATAACTTTCGGTATAAACTCACTGACGTAATGGGAAATCGTAAACGACCCACAACACGTGAACAGTCGACGATCAACTCGGAAAATGGACGTGATTTTGAACACATTTAATACTGATTAAATACATAATGGGGTTGTCGTACAGTGCTAATTATTCTCTTGATAACAGAAATGTTCGTAATTGTACTTCAAATTACAAAAGAAATAGGATTTTAAGTTTGTTAAAAGAAAAAATGCAGACATATATTCTTTGTTTAAACATTAAGAAATCCTTGTGAGTTTTAATGTTATGCGGAGCAGGGAGTTGGTAGCTGGTATAATGTGTCTTTGCTTATTGTACTTGACCGAGGTGTTCACATTGTCAAACCTTTCACAGTTGTACACTGACATTTTGAAATAGCTAATAATCAAAATTAATTTGTTCTACATCTTTGTTTTTTATAAGACAACTTGGTTAGCCACGGTCTCCAGTGATTTAAAGGGGACTTGGAGCATGTCATGAAATTGAATTACATTACAGCATTTAACTGAATTACGTTACAGCATTTAATACATATTGGCATTCGAACGACAATGGGGCACTCGTATCAAGTCTAGAGCAATATATCTATAGAAAAAACGCATACAAAAGTGTATCACAATCTTTTAAATCTTAAGCATTCTACGAGACTGTGTATCAATTTCAATATATAATTATCAGGCCCGGTTAAAAAAATCTCTAGAGGGAACTATACGTATGAAAATATGCGTATATTAGCTATTTTATGAAACAGAAGCATGGACGATCCGGTTGTTCCAAGCATCATATCTATTTAATGGTTTTGCAAATATTAACAAGCCACAGTGTTAGTTATTTGTATAAAGTATTTGAGGTTGCTACTGATTGGTCCAGATTCAAATATTCAACGGGAGAGATATGTCTTTGTAAAAGTGGGGTTTCCAATATCAACATCACGACAAATCCGATCTTTGACGGAATTGGCCGAGAAATTGCTGCTGATGATGGTAAGTGACGTACATCTTACAGTAACACAATTATACAACGAAATATAATTATTAGGATAATCAGAATAGTAGCGGTCGTCTATTCAGTATTTGATGTATTCGAAATACATGTATTCTTTTGATTTTATGCTAATGCGAGACTATTATTATAATGTGCCTGTTATGAAAACACATTGTTCCATAAAATAAACTTGTCACAAATTTTCGATCATCTAAGTTAAATTGGTCTATACCGCAAATTCAACTTTGAAAGCAATTGTAATAATATAGTACAGAACCATTTCGCTGTGTACTTATGTACGCAGTTTCAAACTTTTAACCATTCAGTTTTCATTTTTGTGTTTTAGGTTTTATATCCCTTAATATTGTCATCAGGCCCAATACGACTATCGTTGCTGGGCCGTGAAGCAATTAACAGAAAGAAAGATTTCTAGTTAAGGTCAGGAATAACTAATTCCATGCTGATATATTATGTACAGTATTTGTACCCTCTACATGGAGACATAAAAGCGACTTAATAAATCTGCTGCAACATTTGGCACATTTATATTTTTTCTCTCAGTTATTTTACTTCGCTTATGGCCTTGATGGATAGCGTTCGCCAACGAATAGAAGGTTATGGGTTCTGCAATTTGACCGAGATAAATCAAAGTAGTTAAACTTGAAATATGCATTGGAAACTAGGTTTTTTCAGCATGACTATACTTTTTGAAAAGGAAACTATACCTTGCGGGACTTTTATGAAACAATAATAAAGATAAAATAAACAAAATATAGTCAACAATAGTGTTCTGAATATATATAAATCAATCAGGTGGTTAGACAAGATTTCGAACCCTTGACCACTGATTGTTATACCATCGCTCTAACCAACTGGGCTACCTGATCAACGGAAGTACCTTTGCCCACATGCGTTTATATCTAGAACTGAAATAAGGGGAGGTCACTCTTTATAAGAAAACCCGCTGTCGATATAACGTGATCAGTTGCATGCCATGCAGCCGTGTCCATGTCATAACATGTTTGTGTAAATGCATCCGTAGCCACCATCTGCATATCAGCCTGTCAGTTGCAAGGACGTGAAACCACTTCCTCATCGCTAGCACGTAGATAAGCTTAGTTAACGTCCATTAAAAGGAAACTAAATGCAGTATCTTCCAAATGACGTCTAGGCTTGTGATCACCAGTCTGTGACTTTAGGTAAATAAAAGATTTGATGGGAAGAATACTATGAGCCTAAAAACAATATTGAGATATTTTTTAAACAAAAGTCTCGTCAATGGCTTCTCCATATACACATTTACGGTTAAAATAATGTTATCATCACAGTATTTTTCATTATTTTATAATGATTTGTTTGTTATTGGCAGATTATTTTCTTACGCGAAACACCTATGTGCGGATACTATCCCGGCTGAAGACGTCACCATGCGCGAGCAGTAGTAAATGTACAGTATATAATTATATAAAGGAAAACTTATTATTTAAACTGGTATTTCATCTAAACCGAACCAGAATAAGCTATAGCTACAAGGTTACGGCCAACTTCGGGGGATATTTTTCTGCTTTTATGACGGAGAGGTGTGCACTACTGGCAAAACAATTTTACAATGTTTTATATAATATAATATATAAAATATATAATATCCGGTACTGATTTCTCACGTGAACTAATTAGTGTTGCAAAGGCTATATATTCCTTCATTGATTACGGGCCTAATTAGCCACAATATCAAACATCATTAGATACAATTGATGTATACATATAATCGTGTACGGGTGTTTTGCTCATTTTGTTTAATCTAAGCTTATTATTTCACATAATAGGAGTACATGTTTAATGAGATCATGCTGTTTTGCTATTTCTCATTAGCGTTGAACACCCTCTTGAAAGATATATGACTCCTTATCTGTTTCTAAAATGTTCAACCCACTCCATCCCACAGAATAAGTAATAATTTTATCATGAAACACTAATAGGCCTACTTTACAAGAAGTTTCTAAATTGCTTTCAAGTCCTGCCAAGGTGTTCACGTCAGATCAACTCAGGTCTTAAAATAGATTATGAAAACGTGTAGCATTCATGTTTAATTTGACCAAACAAACTTGATTAATTTCCTATGCCTTTATTATTATGATAATGATACTAAAACAAAATATGTTGTTGATAGATGAAATGCGATTAATCTAATAAGGCTAGATATTAAATCAGAAACTTGTGTATAAACAAGTGTTTAGAAGAAAGTTTAATGTAATTACACAATCCCCTTCTTCAGGATAATATGGCCGTATAGCGTTGTCTCCCTGAAAAAATACAAAAGAGAACTGTCAGAACACATCCTGCATTTGATTAGACAACGCGACATAATTTCCATAGAAATGAGACCAGTTTAAATCCCTTTTTCAAACAGTAAAAATGTCCTCAACTCTAGACTACCTTTAACCCGTCCCATAAGATATAACTAACCACAGTCGCTTTGAATATTTAAATTGACTTTTGTCTTGATATGTTCGTTAGGTTGATGTCATTTCCTGTAACATGTTTTAATCGACAATTTATTGGCCCTATCAGTAGATTGGCCGTTAAGAAAGTAATACAACACGACAACATGGAACTGTTTCGAAAAGCGTCATATTGTTATACTCCGTTTAAGACGTTACCCGTCGACGTTACAGAGGGACACCATATTGGGTCTGTTCAATATCTTATATCTTTACTCCGATGTAATTCCGATGATATGCACGTCAAATATATACAGCCTTGGTATGAATTTAGTAAATAAGTCAGTTTGATTATGACTGTTAATCAGTTAAAAACAAACATGGTATTCAATTAATTTTCATTAAGGAGGACACTTTCTGATGTTTTGGGGGGTTTGAAAAAAGTCATTGACAAAAGCGAATTGATCATATACTAGCTGTAGACGTCTAACAATTAATCCCGAACAAATACACAATATTGTAGTTTTATATTCAAGAACTAGCAATCATTCAGTTTGCAACATGACTATTTAACACAAGAGAATCAAGGCACGGACCTAAGCCCGCAGCATAGAAAGCTACACCCAAAATGATTGGTTACGACCTCTCATAATGGCTCCCCTATAATTGACCCAAAATTCGTGCTGCTTTTCCCTGTCCATATACAGTTTAATTTATGCTGTTTTTTATGCAATTTCATCTTCTGTTATTTATTGTCTTTAAGCAATGATAATTAAGGTCCTTGTATCCTTGTAGAAAGGGAATCGCAATAAATCATAAACATTTGGTGCGCAAATTATATTCTTCGTAACTGTATTGATCACACTACCACCCTGAAAACATTATGGCTTGATAGACTTTCGATTTGATTTTGATGTCAAAAAAAGAAAAGAAAACATCGATATCTTAAATCTAAAGACAGTCAAAGTGACGAATAATTACCACAAATAATGCTTATATGATGAAAAGAATGTTACATAGTTTGTTTTTTTAAGTGCGATTTATAAAACTCGTCGCGATTTGTACATGTAGTTTGCCAGAGGCTTGTTAGAATAAAACTGATGACTTGTTTTTCATATCACTATCATGTGAAATGGGAACTTACGTAAGATTATTTATGTATATTTATATATATATATTGAATTCATCGCCGCAGATATATATTGAATGTAGATGACAAAAATTAGAAAATCATCGAATCTTACCCCGTGTGTACGATGGCATATGCTGTTTTACATCGTTCGTAGAAACTTGTACGCTCCATAGTTTCAATCCCCACCTGAAACAAAACGACTTTAAAATCGTTCCTGTGATACATACTTTTTCATTCGAATGCTTTATAGGAGAAATGAATTTAGTTAAACTATACATACCAATACGTTGATATTACTACAAAGATTAATGTAACACATACACATGTGATAACACCTTTCAAAGTTGGTAATAAATACAGTATAATGTGACCGTGTGAGGTGTCCTGCTGGGTGTCTTCGGCAGTATGTTGCATCAGTTCCGCGCTATTACAAGGAGACAAACATGAACATATCGCAGCCTCCCACAACACAAACGCATACACTACACGCATACATCTTGCACAAGGTTGGGGCCGTCCTTAAATGACCATAGCCGTTGATAATACGTTAAACAATACTAAACCAAACCAAACCAAACAGTATGCCAAAAATGCATTCCACTGCATAATACAAGTGTTTCGTCCATATAGGACTCATTGGTGATTGGTGCCAAAAACCTCCAAATCCAATTGTCTGAACTACTGTTGAAACAGATGAGCCGGTGTGTTAAACCCCTTTATCCAATAATTTAAACATTTAGAGGAGGAGTACTGGTTAATTTTAAATTAGATTTTATTTTAAATTTTATTTTTATTTTTTAAATTTGCTGACAATGGTTAGATACTGGAAAGACTTATTTTTGCAGTAAAATGATTCGAGTACTTTTCCTGGTATTTCTGATTGGCTTACTTATGTTTCTCGTTTACTGAAGAAATATCCTGACAGCAATAAGTGACGCAATTTTTTGTTTTCTTTGTTATAATTTGTATTTGTCTTCTTTGAACTGGGATGTTATTCCATTCCTCCAGAGGTACCTACGTCAGCTGGGAGACGTTGTTTGGGCCGTTGGCGTGTTTTCTAACCCACCTTGTCCAGTTCGTCCTACACATGTTCCATGTGAAACAAGTATGGTTGCCAATCAAGTACTGGACCATTATTTTGGGCTAAAACAACACGGCAAAGCCTTGCAATGTGTGACCTTTCATTGTCCTGCTGGAAGGTTCGATTACATTGTTGGATAAGGGAAATGACGTGGGGATGGACAAACAAATCCCAGTATAGAAAGGCTGTGGGATTGCCCTTGATGACAGGTAGAACTATTAGAATGCCTCCCGAAAACATAACAGTTTGGCATTGTCCTTAACGCGTGCATTTGAGCAAAGTGGCCGTACTAAAAGTTGGGATTACGCTAACAGATCGGATGTACCCTTCAGCGCTGTAATATGAAAGAGCCTAAACAAGTATAAGCACGTATTCAATACATTTGGTAATCAAACATGAATTATTATTTTCTCCTTTAATGTTCATATTGTCTTAAAATGCTAAAGACAAAAAGGGAAAAAATACACACGGAAATATCACATTCATTAATCTTACGTTTCTCCTTCAAAGTTCATATTATCTCAAAAGACTAAAGACATAAAGTGGAAAATATACACTGACAACCATTAATCTTTCTTTTCTCCTTTAATGTTGATATTGTCTCGAAAGGCAACAGACATAAAGGGGAAAATATACACGGAATGATCAGCTAGAACCATAACGTCATAACAGAATAGCATCACGATAAAATATCATGAGCTATATATTAACCAATGGGGCAATCCCGACGTGTTATCCAAGGATAAAGAATGATAGAGCAGTAATGGGAAAAGTAATTCACAATAAAAAGCAGGACGCAATAGGACATTTTCTTAATACAGTAATTCAAATTTACACGAAGGCCTACCCAATGTCAATATTGTGTCATTTGTCTTTCAAGCATGCATGTACAAAATGTATGAGTTTGGTGAAATTTGATAAAATCAAAGCGAAAGGTTCTCAGTTGGGAATAAGTCTTAATTATATAGGTCTAGACTAAATGTATTTGACTTGATCCCCAAGGTGTTGTTATGCTATGTCATTTGTGTGCACTAGGAATGAATCGCTCTATGTGATTAAAATGTTGACCTGTCCGCGTACTAGCTTGTACAAATTACTCCTAAAATGTAGAGAAGGCTTCAAGAAGGAATAATCTAGTAAATGTTTGTGCTGCCTTCTATAAATAAAATCGATTTATAATGAAATGAAAACGAAAGAAAACACCATGAAGAGATACAATTGAAGGATCCATGTACCACTGCCAATTACTGTAACTATGCATAGGACTTTGGAAATTTGATGAAAAATAAATGAAAATCGAATAAAACAGAGACTTATGACATTGTTCTGAGTTTAAAAATGCAATGGAGCTAAACGGGTTTTCGAACCGAACCCTTGATATCCATTCATTACATTGTCGCTCTTACCAACTAAGCTACCAGGGCCGCTTTCGTTTATCGCGATCCAAACGGTTGAAACGGTATGATTAGAGTTATTCGATTATGAATTGAGGACCTAGCAATCTGATCCTGTTTCCAAGCGAGCTCTGACAAAGCCTTGCAAGGCCTGCATAAACGTTTTGCATGTCCGCCAGGATTTTCACCCAAATTGTTTCATTTATAAATGAAAAGGCGGCATAGTTGTGTTATAAACAGGGACAGGGATCTTAAGCATTAACAATGACCACCAAAGATACAATGTATAATGGCACATTTTGCAGACTATTAATCGTAATATGATTATGTCAATTACCTCTATTGCTATATTTGATCAAATTCATTTCCATAATGATCCCTACTCGGATTTTTTAAAAAAACTTGAATAAGCATGCGAGGCATAATTGATGTACTTGGCAATTACATGCATAATATTACAGTTTTAAATCAATTTTGTTATCCTGATGCTGTGTAATGGCAAAATATTTCAATCTTAATACCAGTTTTGGATTATGCTAAAGATAGCGACAAATACTGTTACAGACATTTAAATTTGATACTACTCTAAAACCCACAATAATATTATGCTATTAAATTCTGGTAAAATGAAATAAATTTAAATAACTGTGTTCCATTTTGATTGTTACATTGATTTTGGTTTAAAATACTGTATGATCTCAAAGGACATATACAGTTGTCGTGGTACATAAATCAAATATTAATAGAACTTTGACTTTGCTTCGAATCTATTTCATGCGGGTGTCACTATTACTGTAAACGAACATATTTTAGCGGTAATCATATTTTAGTGCTTTTTGCGCTTAACTTTTTACGTTAAATTAGGATGGCGTTCATTGACGCTTCTGTTAATTGTCATTTATTGCATATACTGTGAGTGCGCTTATTCGTCAATGCGCTAATCTGCTAAAATTAGATAATGCGCCTAAATTTGAGTGCACTAAAAAAAATACATTTACAGTATTTTACATGATCATCAAGAGATGCAGAAACCTTAAAGTAAAATCTTCATGAAAATACTGCAGTCTGCACAGCGAAGCTTAAACAATATTTAAAGTGCTTAGTCACATAATATATAACGTTTCCGTCGATTCAGAACTGGAAGAGTGCTCCATTAATCCATTCAAAGGTGGACAAAGTAGGCTTATAATTCACATGAATCCATGCTTTTTCTAGAAATTCTAATATCTAAAGTTACAATAGAAACTTTAAAGCGACTGGGAGAACATCATACCTCCTTCCCTTCCTGCTTGTTGACTAGTGTACGGAACTTGTCCTTGACCAGACATGGGTAATTCCGCGCCTTATCAACCGGGAGTAGATCCATGAACGCCACCTACAACGTTATTTAAAGTAATGGTCATCATGGTTACCATGACAAGAGAGAGTGCAGTGAGTTGTATGATATTTAATCAGCGGAAGGACATACTATGTATCATATAACAAATACACTACAGAGTCAATATTCATGGACAAAATCGTCACTGTATAAAAGCTTTTGAAAAGGCAAACAATATGTAGGATAGACTGAAAAATGTGAAAACATGGACCTCACATATGAGACACTAAAAACCATTGGAAATATATTATGAACCGAGCACATTTGTTCTTAAATGCAATTAAATACTTTTCAGCATAACATCTATGATATGTTACAGGTTTTGGTAATCTTATCACAAACAGAAGAATTCAAACAGCATGGAATTATTTCACTGAAACTTTACTCATGTCCCGGATTCATGCTACATTCGCTTCTTAAACCTCGATTCGACAAACAATAGCGGATTAATCTATTCTAATGATATTTTAATAACATCACTACAATAAGCATACAATGGTTCCTAACTATTTGGAATTCGTTGTTATTAGGTCCGCGCTATTGCAGATAGGCATATACACCAACTGCTGTTCCCAACAGGCATACATTTGTGCACGCATACATTACACACACGGAAACATATACACCAACTGCTGTTTCCAACAGGCATACATGTATGCACGTATACATTACACACACTGAGACACCCTGGAATGAACGTTTTGAATGGGACGCCAAACCTTAACAAAATCAAATCTAAATACTAAAACTTAAGAGAGAATATGAAATATGTTGCAGTCTGCACTTATGAAAACAGCAATTGCATTATTTATTATCTATTGCAGTTCAGTATTGTAATATAATCTTTGTTTTTGTAATATATTTTCTTTGTAATTTAGCTTATTGTGTTTTTAATAAATGGGCTTTCGTAACCATTGAAATGAGGTAATCGTAATACGTAATGACGTTACGGCAACATCAGCACATCGCGTGCATTCTGCGCTTACCGGCTTCTCCGCGTATACGTCTAGCGGGAACAGTTCCAGGATAGCGTCCAGCATTGTTGGGCCATCTACACCTACATGTTACATACGTAAAAGTACGTATAGACATATTCGTTAATGTGTGAATCAGCAAGGCTTTGTCTTAGCCATTTGGCGCCACTTACTGCAGATCAAAACTGTTTGTTTACAATTTCAATTGAATGATTGCATTAAACTAGAATGTTATTTGATATGTTTATCTCTAATTCAGAGTTCCAAACCTAAATAGTACGTGACTTGAACGTATAACGCGGATTATTCTGAATGTTGTACACCAAGACTCCGGTAATGCAAAACATCAAGATATTTGATGCAATTTTCATGCTTAAATATTTTTAAAAAACGTGTATTCAGGTCTTACTGATCCAACTTTGCTCGACAATGGTTGACTTCACTCTCTAGGTACACCGTTTGTTATTGAGTTGTTTATTAACGTTTATTTTGTTTGTAAACCAAACGCTGGTCATTTACACTCTTTGCTTGATAAAATAAATAGGGGTGGTATTATCATGACCTTATCTCTTCTCTCCTTTCTAAATAACTTTCTTATTCCTAATGTCTCCCTTGACAATGCCTCACTTTTGGCTATTCGTTGAGTGTTAGCCCCTGCGAGGAAGGCTTTGGGTTCTGTACCCTGGCCGAGACATACCAAAGTCTTTAAAAAGGGAATTTTCTACTCCTGCTTAACGCTCAGCAAATTAGTAGTGGGACGACTGGTTCGCCCGTTGTCAGTTTAATGTGACCGGGTGGGGCGTCCTGCTGGGTGTCTTCGGCAGTATGTTTCAGTGAGGTAGCACTATAAAGTTGGCATCAGTTCCGCGCTATCACAAGGAGACAAATACGAAAATATCGCAGCCTCCCAAAATACACACACATACACTACACGCATGCATCTTGCACACAGGGGAGGCAACCTTAAATGACCTAATCTGTTAATAAGACGTTAAACAAAATAAAACCAGACCAAACCAAAGCATTATCATGATCATGATCAAACTAGATTCTCTGCTCAAGTACAATTTCTTGTTCTGGCAATAAATAGATAAAAACAAATCATTTTTTCCAGTTATTTGATAACAATGAGGGGAGACTTGTAGCGGAGTAAGGTTTCTTTACTTACATTTGAACTTTGTACTATGTCTTACCACATCTGCAGGTCGAGGATTAAGAAAATAATACATCTGTTTCCAACTGCATGGTCGTAAGACACGACCAATGTGTTGGGGGGACCCTTGTAGAATTTGGGATTGGCATGGGTGCTATCGGCATGGGTTGCATCAGATCCGCGCTATCACAAGGAGGCAATTAAACCAACATACACTGTCTCCAGCACACATACACCCATGCATACATACACAACACGTGGAAGCACGTCCTTAAATGATGACCTTAGCTGTTGATAGAATGTTAAAGCCTCCACAACCAACCAATTATGTCTCACGATTTAATCCAGTTACGAGCACTTTGGTGGAGGCACAAAATCCATGCTGGAACATGAGACCCGTTTCATGAATATGGGTTGAGGTGTTTTCGAAAGCACGCCCAAACTTTCAAATTTCAAAATATTGGTTGTAAACAAAAGTAACTATTTACTGGTAAATATCACAGCAATTATCTTCGTAATTCCTCATACTCCTGTGAAATCAGATTTGTTTTGTGGGCCATAACTTTGTGGTTTCTCGACAAAACACCATTTCGTGTGTACATCAGATCGTGGATTACGAGTACCAACTCAAACGGAGAATTGTTTTAAATCGAATTTGTTATTACTTCGTGTACCTATGAATTCGTGGATTAAGATTACCCACGATATCAACCAAATTAAAACCCGAAGAAAATTAATGATTTCATAGCCTTCTTAAAGTACTAAATTAACAGCCTGCTTGTATCATTTTCTTTTTTCATTAAATACTATTTGCTGTCTATAACATAAGTAGACCCAAAGGATGATTAATTATCTAGTGTTAATTGTACGAAAAGTTTAATGTCGCCCGAGCGGACCATTATAAAAATCGCATCATACTCTGGTACAAACTGTGTTTGGAAAAGAAAAGGCGATGACATTATTTAGAAAAAAAATATCCGGTGGTTAAGTCTCCTACACAGTTTCTTTATTTAGTAGATCCCAAGCCCAAGTCCGGAAATTAGGGTAAATGGACGAGAATTTCACCCCTGAAGACACATATGAACTCCTCCAATTCAAAGGTTGGAATAGTTCATTATTAAGTTTCAGGGGGTGAATGAGTTAACTTATCTGGCATTATGATGACAGCAATTACCATTTCAATAGAATAAAAAATCGAGTTGGTTTAGTTACAGCTCACTTACCTTCTGCACGAATTTCGCTCGGGCCGTTCCTGCATACTAAATTTGTGGGGAATCCTATATCCACCAGCACTAAATGAAACAAGGTGAAAGTGAGGGAAAAAACAGTTTAAAAAATAAAACCATGAACAAGGGAGACATGAACATCAACAACACTGAATGAAACAAGAAAGAAAAAGTGAAAAATAGTTATAGTATCACAGTGCTAACACATCTGGACAACTTATCGATACAAAAAAGATATCACACCGAACCAAGGAGACACCAAAACTACATGTATATTTTAAACAGTGTTCAAACCAGTGACTAATTTAATACTCCTAACAGAGGTTCTTCTACAAAGGAGGAAAATAACGATACAGAATACATGGAAGTTGGAAACAACATGGGAATTGGATGCATATGCAAAGTATACCAGTCGGTAATGAAAGCGTTTTGTTTTCGTCAGTCTTAATTTACTATAGTTGCCAGTTTTTGTTTTACATGTACTTGCCAATCGAAACGATCTATCAGGGCCACACAATGATTTAACGGTGACTGTGCCAGGAGGGTCATAATGTTTAAAACAAGCGGAAATGGAAAGGTGTGTCAGTCAATGTGGGTGATGATATAAATTCATTTATTTGTTAAGAGACCACCTAAGGTTAAGACTCGAATGTTAACTCTCAATAGGGCTTTTGTGCAGATGGGGAGATGAGAAAATGGTAGTCTCTTTCACAACGAGTATTGGGTAATACGGGTGGTCCCTCGAGCAGATTTAATTGTAATTTCAAGCTAGCTAGTTCTTTGATTTGACCTTAATGCTCATTAAATAACAAAAAAAAATGAATGCCTGAAAGGTTGTTTAGGCGGGAGAGAAAACGCTGCCTCATGAGAACAACTTTATGGTGATCCAAATGGAGATAACAGTGTGTCGCCATTGACGTGATGTGGATGTGGTGACGGTTTTCTACCGTATTGAAATCTCACAGCTCGCGTCTATAGTCAGGTACCATTAAATAGCACACTGTTTTACATCTACGCCAAGACAAATGGCGCTATTCTAAAGCATATAATACAGTCGATTGCTAGAAATATAAGGAAATGAAGCATCTATCTAAATTTTAGTTTGTCGATGCAGTAAGCCCATCCCCGATAGTCCAGGGGCTACGCTCACCTTCGCTCACTGCACCCCTGGAATATGTCATAGCAAAATTGAAGGCGCAAAGACAGCCGTTTGATTGGTCTCAGGCAAGTATCTGTCCTTTGAAGATGGCAAAGGAGGAACACCCGACTTCAAAGTCAGTAAATTTTTACCGTTACGTGTCCGTTAGATTCTTTGAATTACATCAAAGAATCGAACAAGTCATCTTGTCTCATCAACAAGGTAGCTCACACGGAGCCTTCAATTATGCCATGACATATTCCAGGGTTGCAGAGAGCGAAAGTGAGCTTAACCTCTGGGTATCGTGGATGCAGTAAGACAAACAAACTGAACATTTCCCTGTATCAAATTACTTTCGTCCATTTAGGAATCATAAGTGGTACTTATGCTCACCAGGTAGGGCGTAAGAATTGTACCTACTGCCCCTATTGCATGATCGTAAGAGGCGACTAAATTTGGGATCTCATCTTCTCTCTTCTTTCTGAACAACTTTCTTCTTCCTAATTTCTCCCTTGACAATGCCTTACTTTTGGCCTTTAGTTGCGCGTTCGCCCCTGTGAGGAAGGCTTTGGGTTCTGTCCCCTGGCCGAGACATACCAGAGTCTGTAAAAATGGTAGTTTCTACTCCTGCTTAACGCTCAGCAATCTATGAGTGGGACAACTGGTTCGCCAGTTGTCAGTATAATGTTTCAGTTAAGTAGCACTATAAAGTTGGCATCAGTTCCGCGCTATCACAAGGAGACAAACACGAACATATCGCAGCCTCCCAAAACACACACGCATACACTACATGCATCCATCTTGCTCATGTGGGAGGCCGTCCTTAAATGACCATAGCTGTTGATAGGACGTTAAACAATACTAAACCAAACCAAACCAAATTATGCTCATTGGATATACATGGGCGGATTGCTCGATTTGTAAACACTCCAGCCTTCCACGCAGGCGGCAAGGGTTCGATCCTCGAAGTCGTCGTACGCATGAAATATTCAGAGGAAGTGTTTTCACACAACTCCAACAACCCGGGTGAAGTATTAAGTGCTAGATGTTTGGAGAACATTAAACCCCGTATAAACAGACAAACACAAAGCAAACAGACCACCCATACTTCACTCGCCTATCTCATCACCATGACCCATGGCCGCCAACACGTGCAAGAGGTCCGGACTCAGAATCTTGGGAATCTTCTTTAGTGGCATTGTGTTGTCTTAGTAACGACACTGGTGATGGATCCGACAAAAATATCACGCGAAAGTCCTTTAGTGTGTAGGCGTCAAAGTTGCCTTGACCTTAACCTAAAATCAGCAAATTAAAAGATGGGGTTCATGTTAATTGTCAACAGTATTTCACTTTTAAAAGTTAAAAACTTTCTAGAAATACAAACAGTTAATGAAAACTAAAGGTAAGTGCTCGAATAATGAAAAGAAAATGTTTTTTCATGTATATTTCCTGTCCAATAAATCACCTTAAAAGTTCTTTGCCTGAATAATGGAATAGGTAAAGGTCTGTATGGAGGTATTTACTGTATAGTGCTTTAAATTTGCGGGGTCAATATTTCGCGGTTTCGTATTCAGTAGGTATTCGCGGGGGTTAAATTCCGCTGTGCACCCGAATCCCATATGTGTCATGCAAAGTATTTTGAGTAGCATCATTTCAAGGTAAAACCTCAAAATATAGGTAAACCGTTTGCAAACACTGATCCCGAGCGTCGTCATCCGCCAGTGAGTTCACTTAAAAGAAAATCAAATGTGAATGTACCTTTGTAGGAGTAAAGTGTAATCAATTAATACACATAAATATGTTGTAGCCACTTGTACTTTACATGGACTGCCCAGTTGTCCGGTGATAATCTGATATGAGTTAATTTAAGCTTGCATAACACTTGCGAAATATAACCGCTATATAAAGTAACACACTGATCGAATACTTGCTATACATGTTAATAAACAACTGTATCTTCAGACGTTTTTAAATACAACAAGGTTGCACCTTTCATGTACACGCAAAGATTAAGATGTACTGGTAGATCTTCCAAGCCTTTGAACAAAACAATGACTTACTTGATACGATGCATACATTGCTGATGGGTTGAGCACGGATTGGTACATGAGTGTTCCATGTTTATTAAAGTACATTATATATAAGTAACCGTTTAAGTATGGATATGTACTTACCTGCCGAGTTTCCTACCTGTGGGAATCACCGTAAACACTACCAGTCTATGGAGACAGTCTTCTAATGTAATGTCGTGACTTATCTTGGTGAATTGATAATGGCGTTTTTATCTGTCTCGCCCTACTTTGAAGGCTGATCGCGAATATCCGTCTTAAGTTGCTAATACATATAACCTAGGTGCACAATATTGTATTCAGTCATGGTTACAAACTTTTGCAACTTCTGAAAAAACCCCGATATGTGCGGTTTTGCAGTCCCGGTATTTAAATGTTTGTTGTGTTTTGTTACTAACATGTAACTAGAAATGTTCGCATTTTTTTACTGCCAACATCGCGAAAGACGACTTAGACGTAAAAAAGACCTTAATACAGTATTTCAAAATATAGAAAATAAAAAACTTCACCCAGGCACGTCGGGGATCGGGAAAAGAATACACCTACTGCTACCAATTGCCTATATCGTAAGAGCCGACTAGTGTGGGAACACCCTGCAGAATTTGGGATTTGCTTTTGTGTCTTCTACTTGGGGGCACAAAAGTGACAAAAATAAATCTGCTGAACTCATTGCATTATTAGGGATCTGTATTTCTCTCTGCTTCTAACTACCTGTTCTGCCCTAGCGCCTTCCTTGGCAATACCTCACTTGTAAGGAATGGGCTTAATATAAGTTGTTAAACATGTACCAAACCCCCGTTGTATATAAATAACAATAGAGTATTTGATCAGCTCTGCGCTATAACAAGGAGTTAAATGAACCACGTCTGCGGCATGCATACACACATGCAGGCATACACTACACACATGGAGGCATACACTACACACATGGAGGCATACACTACACACATGGAGGCATACACTACACACATGGAGGCATACACTACACACATGGAGGCATACACTACACACATGGAGGCATACACTACACACATGGAGGCATACACTACACACATGGAGGCATACACTACACACATGGAGGCATACACTACACACATGGAGGCATACACTACACACATGGAGGCATACACTACACACATGGAGGCATACACTACACACATGGAGGCATACACTACACACATGGAGGCATACACTACACACATGGAGGCATACACTACACACATGGAGGCATACACTACACACATGGAGGCATACACTACACACATGGAGGCATACACTACACACATGGAGGCATACACTACACACATGGAGGCACGTCCTTAAATTACCTTAGCTGTTGATAGGACGTTAAACAAAAAAAATCCAAACCAAACTTCAGATAATAGTTTTCTAAAACCATTTTCCGATCTTTCCCTGTATTACTTCGCCATTTAAGTAAAGCAGAATTAGTGTCATATAAAATTCATGTTTAAAACGAACTAATTATATTTAGAGTAGAGTAGGGTTGTAGGAGGATTCTAGTTCACGTTATACTTGCATCTTTGGCATTGATTGAATAACACGGAACTAATTCGTGCACTAACCAAAGCCCACACTAAAGAAACACCGTGATCATGTTATAGCATTAGTATAACCATTAAACACTGGAAAAGCATACAAGAAATCTTATGCAATGACAATGTACACACACACAAAAACAAGAAAGTCGTTACAAAATTATTGAATAAAGAAGGCAAGCAAGAAACAGTCGACTGGCAATACATATAATGTAAAAGCCAAATAGTAAACAAACATTTATAAAATCATATGTAACAAAGGTCACTATTTTCCCAATGCCTTTGCTAGGAGTCAAACCCGGGCCCTCTGGTTTACTAGTCTTACGCTCTACTGAATGAGCTAAAGATAAATTCCCCACAGCCGAGTCGGTAGGAAGCTGCAATTATTTTACCAGTGTGACATTAACAAAACAAACACTTTAAATATATATAATATATGTTAGAGGACCAAACAATTCTGCATATCGGCAACAATTTCCACGTTATACACACATTTATTTACCGCTTCAACTTTATAACATGCAGGGTTACAGTGAATATACCATAGTTTAGCGCTTTCGAATCAGTGTAGACAGCTCTAAAATATTATTACCGCTAAAATATGTTTTTGCAGCAAATAAACTGTATACAAGCAGCAATGAAATGGTAACCAACAAACAATACACAAAATATTATATAAACAAACAAAAGATAGCTAACAAACAACGAATCAAAGAACAAAATATTTTCTCCGAAATACGAAAATTCAGTTAATTTCATTACCTATATAATTGCGAGTAAAAAGGCATGGGAAGACAATTTTACCAGCTTATTTAATTATTCTTCTCCCTGAAGAGTTAATTATCCAGAGGTTCCAATCAAGATAATGATGTTCCTTGATAAATCATAATATACTGTGTTTAATTAATGACTGTAAACTAGCGTAAGCGGTACATTTATCCCATCTGTTTTAAATGTAAAAGTTTGCATGAAGACCTGTCTCAATGCATAGCATATCACCCATGCATCCGATAACCGGTATTACAACAGTATACCCCTACAATGGCAGACGCGTCTGGTGTATTTTGAAGTGTTTCGACGTAGATACAGGGAAGCGGCCGGTATGGACAGCTTTCAAGCATGTGTAATAATCTTCCTTTTTCCCTCTTGTAATCATAAATACCATTATAGTTCACGAAAATGTGGATAAGTACACATGCAACGAAACATGCAAGTCATGACACATGGTTTGACACATGTACATGCAATGCAAATTTTACATTTCCATAAACGTGTATGCGTAATCGTAAGTTGACAAAGCGCGCAAACAACAAGTCTCCGAAAAAAATACAATGTCGTACACTGCTTTTGATTACAAGGACGACACCGACCTCAAACGTTCTATCAACCAATAGACGAGCCAGATACAGTGAGTGAACGCTGAAACAACCGTTCGGTTTGTAGGCGTGTTCTTTTTAAACACGACTTGTTGACGCCATAACGATTTTGATTGTTACGCTAGATTATTTATAGACGTTGTTTTGTCTGCCACAGTTATCTATGATTCAATTTCTTTGGATGTAAATATTAAATATACATATGATTTTATAACTAATAACATTTTATATTAAACAAATCATGAATGTAGAGAACAAGTTACATTTAAGTCTGCATTGAAATCAAACAAGTGCGTCTGATGTATTACCATCACCGTCACCGATTGACAATGTAATACCTTTTGAGTATTGGCACGGTTTTTAATATACACATTTTCTCGTTATAAACTTGAATTTTACCAGTAACCTTCAATTTTTGAAATCAATTTAAAATTAAGGGGTTTCACGCATCTCCCTCTCTGTGTCGACCAATTTCGATTTCCACCTTTGTGGCCCCTAGCAGATATCACCGAGAGTGTCCTAGAAGGACGAAACAGCTGTAAGGTGCAGTGTTATTGATTTTTGGCATTCTGTATCGATTAGTAAATTTTAAAGGTGCAGACCCGTGTGTGTATGGAATAATTTGAGAAAGGTACAATTCAATCACAGGTAGATACAATTTAATTGCAGGTAGGTACAATTAAATTGAAGATAGGTACATTTCAATTGAAGATAGATAAAATTCAATTGCAGGTAGGTACAATTAAATTGAAGATAGGTACATTTCAATTGAAGATAGGTACAATTCAATTGCAGGTAGGTAGGTACAATTCAATTGAAGGTAGGTTCAATTCAATTGAAGATAGGTTCAATTTAATTGAAGATAGGTACAATTCAATTGAAGATATGTACATTTCAATTGAAGATAGGTTCAATTCAATTGAAGATAGGTACAATTCAATTGAAGATAGGTACATTTCAATTGAAGATAGGTATAATTCAATTGCAGGTAGGTACAATTAAATTGAAGATAGGTACATTTCAATTGAAGATAGGTACCATTCAATTGCAGGTAGGTAGGTACAATTCAATTGAAAGTAGGTTAAATTCAATTGAAGATAGGTACAATTCAATTGAAGACAGGTACAATTCAATTGAAGATACGTTCAATTCAATGAAAGATAAGTTCAAATAAGACGAATTAAACCTATCTTAGATTGAATTGAATCCGTCTCCAACTGAATTGTGATTGTTTGAATATATGTCAATTTGCCGTTCCATATATGTGTGTCTTAAATAGGTTCGTCGTTACAATGTAATGGCTATGAAACGTTATTTAAGTCCGTGGTTTGATATAGTTTCTATGTGATTAATTTAAGATTATTTATCTCCGTTCCTCTTTGCTGTAAGATACGATACATGATGTATTGTTGCAACTTAACATGTTACAGTGGTTTATATCGACTTCTGGTGAAAATGTCACCCCCATCTCGTATATATATCATCATTGGGGGTGGTTTTTTTTTACCGAAAATAATCTAAACCTCGAAAACGTGTAGGTCAAAATATAGCTGTAACAAATTATCATGTCCCTGTGTTTTATGGAACGGATGTGCACAACCACTCGTGTTATGTGAAATGTTTACATAATACATTGCCATGAAGTCGGCTGACACATAAAAGAATTAGTAATTTGGAACCCCGAGGAATCGACTTGAGCAAATGAGTTAGAAAATCAACTTTGTCCTTATTTTTATGAAAATGAGATCAGCGCATCGAAGTTATGTCAATGACGATTTAGCTTTCAAACGCTCTCCGAAGTCGATTCCTCCAGCTTCCAAATTACTATAATTGTATATTGTGTGTCTTTGTAAGAACATCCCTTGCGGAGGAAGTTGATTCCGAATATGAAGGAATCTATTTTAATGTGCATCCGTTCACTTGTACGGGGACGGGTTGAAGACATAATCAAATGGTGTACCCCTCAACAAATGTTGTATTGTGATATGGTTAACAATAACATAGTTACAAGCAGAAATAAAATAAAATGATATTAAGATATGGGACTTGATTTCAAATAATACACAGCGTACCAAATATAAAGAGTGCAATTAGCTTACCTAAAATGCATATTTGTCAAAAAACACCTAAAACATTTCAGTGGTATTTATCTATATTTTGCTACGCTTGGTTTTGGTCAAGTTGTCAAAATAGAGATATATTGACAATT